ATATATATATATATATATATATAATATGTATATAGGTCGGTAAGCGTTTTGTTTTTCAATTTGTCGTAACTGCGAAGCGTCCGAACCTACCTGCGATAAATCAGATACCGAAATACATTTCTTTTTTTCATAAAAACTCCGCCATTACTACGCACCCGTTAGACGCGCGTGTCGGCTAAACTGGTCTTTACGAAAGTTTGTAGTAGAAACGTCAAGCATCGATAGGAAGACCATATTTCTTACGAAAGCTTAACATACTCGTCAGGTTCGCGGACAATGCGATCGCGTTTCTTCAACCGAAATGCGAAACGTATTCGCCGGTTTTCATTTTATTGTACGAAGAAAATATAATTGCAATCAAGATATAAGTGAAATCATAAACAAAGGAATCGTAAATAGGATATCAGTGATTTATCGAATACGTTAACGCGCCACTGTTGATGGATAGTGCGATATTGTTTTTTGTCGCTTTGATATTTTTAACAAACAACAAAACGCAACGATGGACGCGTTAACCTGTCATCACTTTGTCCGCGAACTCGTTAACTACCAACAAATGCGTAAAATAACAGTTCGCTTTTGTTTCGCTAATGAGAGAGATTGCCTATGTTGATGCAATGGATATTGTGTGACTTGGCCGTTTGGCACTCACGACGATTGTATGCACAACAAACGCAAGGAAATCTAAAATGAGTCAACTAAAAACATGCTCTTTTCGCATTTATTCGATGCTAGTAACATTTCGCGCGTGCGCGTGTGTGTATGCGTGTGTGTGTGTGTGTGTGTGTACGAGTGTATGCGTGTGTATGTGTCTTTGTGTGTTTATTTGTTGTATAAATGTATTCGTACATATGCGTATATGTAAGAATCAAAAGTGGAGGTTTTTTCGAGATGACGTTCGGAATATATAACATCGGAAGGATACACGCATAAATTAGAGCTGGGAGATTATTCGAGCGTGAACGATATCCGATATTCATCTCGACACGAGTATCGCGACATAAGACATGCAGATATGTATCGTATCGGCTGTGTGTTCCGAGCGGTTTGTTTGCTAATAATCATCATTTGCGACGAGCGCCGTAACTCCCTAGGGCCGACTAGCGTGACCTTTTTAACGTGCACAAGCAAGCTAGAGAATCGATCGTTCGAATTTCACCGCACGAAGTGTCGCAATTAGCGTGTGATAGAGCATGATCACGAATTTCAGGAGAATATTTCGTCTCTTGTCTCCACGCTGTAAAGCTCGGTATCCCTCGAATCGTTTAGGCTTTGAGCGGTGATGCGGACGCACGTATAATGATATATATTGGTGTGTCAAATCTTTCCGGTCGAAGTCCGGGATATTCCTTGCAAAACACCTCCCACTTACAACTCATTACGACCAGAAAGATTTAATGCCATAACATGGAGCGAGTTTTCTCGCCGGTAGGAATGATTTCGCATCGGAATAGAAAAGAAGATTCCTGGGGAACTATCTAACGTCGTAAGATTATGATCGGTAAACCAGGACCTTGTGGATGCAATCGAAATTCAAAGGTTCGCGTTTCGCGGATATGAAAAGTCGCGAGAAGCATCATTTGTCGCGCGATCGCGTACAGATATAAGTTAAGTTAGTTAGTCCCGATATAGAATCTCTCGTCATTCTACGACGTGTCGTCCTTTACTAATCGATCTCACGCATTCTCACGGCTATCAAAAGAAAGAGGATTGTTTTCTCTTATTTGTTTGTTTTTCCCAGCTCTAGCATAGATACGCTATTCTCACAAAATATATGACGTCATTATTACGCACGAGAACTTCGTCTAAGCGCGCTTAATAAATCCCGATAATCTTAATTGTGTGGTGTGTGTCAATGGTACGTATATATTTTATTATTCGTCGATCTCGCGATCGCGAATTCTCTTCCCCTTCAAATAATATCAGTCGAGGCGATCTAGCATTAGTTCTATCCACCTTTCAATAAATCGATTAGACTCATCTCTCCCGTCTCGCAAAGGCTGAGCTCTTCACTCGTGCGACATAGACTAGGACACTTTGTTTAAATATGTATAAATTCATATCAAGAGATTTTTGTTGTTTCATTGAAAAATCATCTAAACGTAAGTTCCTCGAAATGGAAGATTCGTTTGCCGCGTCGCGACGGTGGAGACGACGAGGCGGCTTTATTCACGAACGAAAATTCTGTCATAAGCTAATATCTCCGACCGAAAGATTGTCGACCGATTATTATTCGAGCGTACGCGTAATGTTCGCTCATTCGCTCGTCATCCAGCTAGTTAAAAGCGAACACTGAGAAAGTTCGTTTTCCATTTTTCTAACTGCGCGCGAGCATTTATTCGGCAGACATCCTCGAACTTGATATTACCGCGCACAGCGATTTGTCTATTTAACACATAACAAATCGCGTTATTATATAGTTGTACAGTTTCTATACCGTTTCATCCTAACACATCGCGATGACGGTATCATGCACTATCATAACCTCGGCATTGTTGCGAAATTGCATTAGTACGATTCATATTGATATATGTTTAAAGAATTTGCATGTAAATCTCGACAATCAATTGTTTACACGTGAACGTAACTACGCATGCATTGACGCACATAAACGATTGTATTCGAAGTGTTTCTAATGTGTATCTCGAGATATTCGCCGAATAAATGACGCGTATCAGCCATTATTAGCGAGTTTTCATCGTCATCATCATCGTTACCAGCCGTCGCAGCGGCGCTACCATATATTCGTATAATTACATGTATTAATTGTTTCCATAAGTTCAAATTACGAAGTAGACATTGAATATGAAAGAATATTCAGCAAAGTGCTTGGGAAATCTCGAGAGAGGGGCGGAGGAGGGGGGGGGGGGCGTTATAGTTTCTTACACTTTGGATGCGTTCTACAAGGAAAGATCGATTAGCGACGTACGTTTAGATTGCATCGAATTGACCATCTAATGGATAACAGAGATTATTACGAATATTGAGAGAGAGATAGTGCGATGAATCGTTTCTCTATGAGCTATCGTACTTGAATTTCGACACGCGAATTTGAACGCGACGCACACGCGGTACAATTGTTTAATCGTCGAGATTAGTCGTGAATAAACCTCGATAATAAAATATAGAAACTCTGAGTCTTATTCTTTGACAATAATTTGCACTTGCCTTGCACTTTACATTACGTTTCCTTGTTAAAGGGATATAGACGCTAAATGTTCGTAATTTTACATTTCGAGCATTTCTTTCCTTTTTTTCCCTTTAATAATAGTTTACCATGAAGCTTCCGATCCGATAGACGAACGATCGCGAATGATGTCTCTGATATTTTTAGTGAAATAGTAAATTACTGTATAAGCTCATGCCAATATACATTTTTTTCTTTAATATAAGATGTTACCGAATCTCTCGCTGTCGAGATGCAACACATTGATATAAAATAAATAAAAAAATAAATAAAAAATCGAAATTCTAACGCATCGAGGAAAAAGTAATCGCGATAAGAAAAAGGTATTTTCACACAATCTGTACTGATAAATGATAATATCATTTATACCGAAAAATATTGAATAGAATCTGTGATTGGCTTACGATTGATATTCATATTTATTTTTAACGCGGCCAATACAAGAACTTAATCTTCGGGTTCAACCGAAACGACCGTCACTATGTCTCGTTATTGACGATACGGACTAAGCGATCGAAGTGAGATTTAAGGATCGACGTGCAAATAATTAGCTGAAATTATTGTCATCGATGTTGTCTAACTGTTAATGACACAGTGCTAGGAAGTTGTGAGAGATGCTGTGAGTCAGTTTGTTAGCTCGAAAATGTTTAAGTATGAAGAGTAAATGCAAGAAGTGAGTATATGCAAATATTCTAATTAACTAGATTGTACAAAATGGAAAAAGTCCATTGTAAATCGTTTTTTCTTCCTTTTTTTTAAATATTTGCACGACCTCTCTCCCTCTCTCTCTTTCTCTCTTTCTCTCTCTCTCTCTCTCTCTTTCTCCACACCTTATACTCTTACACCTTCCCTATACAAATATGTTTAGCAAGGCTGTATTATGAATTTACTTTTTCACCTTTTGTAAACCAAGACTTTGCTGGTATTAATCTGAATACGCATAACGAATTACAAGTATACTTCCATAAAATCGTAATATTCGACCCAGGCACGAAATAGTCCAACTAATAACAGTCGTTACTATCAATATATGTATATGTATGTATATTATTACGATTTGCACTCTAGCTTATTTCATAGCTCATTTAAGTTCTAGTTCATTTCACATTTTATATTACCATATAATTATTATTAATTATTAATATTTATTATTATTATTATATCATTAATACTCTAATTATTATTTGTAGTTATCGTTATATTATCAGTGTTTCTGTCGCCAAAGGTCTTATTTGCACGAAGAACCGCAAGCCGAATGTCACATAGATATCTTCTGTGTGTAGTTGCGCAAACCTTTTCCATTCTTTTTAAATAAAATAGGCACAACCGACGGTAAACGGAAGATCTCTCTTCGAAAAGTATCGCGGCAATCCAAAAGTAAATAACAACACACAGTATGCGTATCTTCATTAGGTCTTCAAGCAAATTCCCTTTGTCGAAACGATCACGTTCGAGAGGAAAATATTTCTTGGTGTTGTTGACAATTTCTTTCTTTTTTTTTTCATTTTTGTTCGTTATACATAGGCTATCCCAAAACCATGGCGTTTTCTTTCAGTCGTGTATCATTTAATCAATTCGAAGTTGCTCCTTCCTCCAGTAAGATTCTAGAAAAAATCATCCCTTTTTCTCGCTGCTTTTCTTACGTTTCAATACTAAGTATCTCGATAAGTATTTTCGTAACTAAAACTCGAAAATACCTCCGTCGAAAATATCTCTGTCGAAGAAACAAATCGACTCCAAACTGATCGCAGCTGAAAGGTGGTGCGACAGTTTCGGGGTACCCTGTATATTCGGGTTAGGGGGGCGCACGTGAGACGAGTATGCGCGTACATGCGCTCTAACAATCTTTTATCACGGAGGAATCTAAACCATCTAATCTCGAAAATTGAGGTAGAATCATAGAGGAGAATGAGCTCAGTTGGATGCGCGGATCAATTTATGCCATTGATAATATTCCTTACGAGAATCTCGGTCTCAATGAGGATCGCTTGCGAGGAGGTCAGGCTTATTCGTGGAAATCTCGCAGGTTTTAAAACACTCTATTTATTACACGGGGAAAAAAGCATTCGACTTGTGTCATTGAACTGTGTTGTCCGAGGACTAGAATAAAACTCGATTTTAGGAACAAAGAGATTCCCGTAGGAGATTCGATTCACTTGTCAATCAATTGTTCTCAATTGTCTCCATAGAGTCCTAATGCAGCCGAAAGGTTCAAACAAATGTTTTCGGTTGCAGTAGCATAGATAACATTTCTCGTAACCGAATTTTTGTCTGGTCTTTATTTAGTTACATGAAACAAGATTTTTTTGTGCGTTTAAATAACACGAAGGAAAAATCAGTTCGTGTAATTGAATTTTTTGTCGTCCGAAGACCAGACGAAAACTCAGCTGTATGAACGATAAGATTACAGTAGGAAGTTTCTGCTCAGTCAATTGTTCTCAGTTATCTCAACAAAGGTAATTATTTTAATGCAATTGTTCAGACGAGCGTTTTCGATCGCGGTAACAGAGATAACATTTCCCGTAATTGAATTTTCGTCTAATTCTGATTCAATTATATAAACTGAAATTTATTTCCCATGTGCTTATACCGGACTCTTATAAAAAAATATTACTGACTGTGATAAATTGGCCACTGATAAATAACTGTTGCTCAGTAGTTTTATTATTCCGAGTAATAAATACATTTCATAAGAGAAGAAAAACTTAATTGCAAATGAATTTTCTATTGCTCAGGGACTAGACAAAAACTCAGCGATATAAACGAAAGATTACTGTAGGAGGTTTCTGTTCAGTCAATTGTCTTTGGCTGAAGATAAATTATTTTAATGCAGCCGAATGTTCAAACCAGTATTTGGCCGCGGCAACGGAAATATACCGTTTCTTGTCATCGAATTTTCATCTATTTTCTATTCAGTTACATACGAAAAAAACTTGGTTCCTAAAAGAGGAGCCGGATGAAAATTCGATTACAAGAAATAATACTTTATTTTTTTATTAATGATACCTCTGTTACCGCGACTGAGCATATTGGTGTAAACCTTCAATTGCATTAAAACTCGATTGAGGCACCTGAGAGCAATTGTCTTGGTAGAAACTTCCAACAGAAATGTTTCTGTTTCTATAACTAAGTCTTTAGGAACGGAAAATTGAATTATATCAACAAAATTATTTTTACCGTTTACAAACCAAGATATTTCTTGTATAACAATGCGTAAACTTACTTACGTACCTAACCAGACTTACTCTCCACTATATCGGAGCGACAACGTACACGTTCATGCAAAAGTAATCGGACTTGATATCGCGGTGAGTTTCAGTACCTAGCGTATGAGATCTTCGTTGATTGTTAACATCTCGATCGCGACTTTAAACACGTTCCGTCTCTTCGCGCTGTTTCTTTTTTCTTTTCTTTTTTTTCTCGTTATCTCCATTATAGTATTACGATATCGTGTGAGCGGAGACTTCGCAAAATGAATCTCTACCGCGAGGATCGCGAAGGCGTCTCTTTATGAGTGATATATATATATATATATCGCGACGAAAGAATTATTTTGCGGGAGGAACAACGGAAACAATGGTATCTTGGTGTGGAAAAACGCGTGACCAAACCCCGAGAGAAAACTAGAAATACACTATAAGAATACAATAATGTTTTATCGTTCGCGAATGCGTTCACCACGATGTGTAACGCTCATTTTCACCCGTAGCATTTCTCCTCCTCCCTCTTTTTACCTTTTCCCTTCTCTTCCCCCTCTCGCATTTATATTCGTAAATACTACCGTATTATATTATTGCATAGGAATTGTTAATAGGTATTCAACGATATATTTCCGCGAGCCCTCCTGCTTTTCTGTATAAGCGCGATCAACCAGTACACGACCTACTGTTCGGAGGCGCGCGGAGCGGACAATTAATAATAGAAACACAACACTTATGATCAAATTCGCCCCCGTTTCCCCATAGAAAATATTTGTGCCGTTTTATACAAAAAACTTAAGCTTAACGTTTCTTTTTTTTCTTCTTAACAAACATACCTTAATATGTGTAGCCTAGATATTGATTCGCGATAACGTATGATACAGAGTCTGTACAAAAGTCTGCTGCGTGAGTGTATTTGTATGAATGGACTGGTGTTGTGTCCGCGGCTGCAGTGGTATATGTCACGTTTACAACCTCCTTCTCAACATGCACAGCCCTTTACTTGAGTCGCGAAGCTCGCGAGAAATTTCGGCTCGCGGACCTGTAATTCTCTCTCTCTCTCTCTCTCTCTTTCTGTCTTTCTCTCGCTCTTTAACGACATCTCGGCATCGCGACGCCGACGACATACGTTAATATTTCTCTACTTCTAGGAACTCGTGACGATATCTCGATTGGTCCGTGCGACGTGCCACGGCCTTTGCGAGATCGCTTCGAACAAAATGTACGTCGACGTCGTTGACGACGTTGAACGACAGCGTTGAGGTGAATTAATTGCCACTGGAACGCCCTGTCAGTATCGATGTTTCTCGAAATTTTGAATTATTCGCGTATTGACGATATTTTTATGAACTCCGTTATTGCACCGTACATTAATCGGTGTCTGAATTTTGTCTCTTTCTTGTTGAAGTTTCAGCACGCATTTTTGCATGAGAAATACGAAAAGAAGATACGGGCGTTCCAATATCAACACTTCGAGTGCTACGTCACCGTTATATTTGGGTTCCGCTCGTTCAATTACAAATGATTTTACCATGTTTCACCGAAATAAAGCAAAAAATCCACGATAACGTTAAAATAACGTCAAATTGACGAAAAAGTGATCGAATCATTAGTGACTTATTTCATTTTTTCTTATCGTGTTGGCATCATCGTGATTTTTTGTTTTATCTGGATAGCTTAATCAAGTATACACCAAGTGTTATGCAAAATAACTTCTACTGCCTTAACATTTATTTATTATCATTATTAAAGTATAATTCATTCAGTGCCCTGAGGTAGATTCCCCAAAGCGCAAATTCATGCAAGTACAATTTACTAGGGTCTCTTATGATGTTTAATTTTATATGTCAAATATAAGATCGACAATTGATACCAATAACTCCAATGGTAATGTTAAGGTATATGTGACGTAACTTCGACGCAACTCATGCGATTATTAATATGTCAAGCGATGATCTGATTCCGTGTACAATCGCGAGATAAAAAATCGGAACTTGACGATGCTCGCATTCGAAATCAGCGTGACATTTGACGTATTAAATAGATAAGCCGACCGGATATTCACCTCCCCGCGTCGTGATGAGCGTCTTTGTTTCATTTTGTGCCAACTCTGTATAATACACAGAAAAACACACACACACACACACACACACACACACACACACACACACACACACACGGAGAACAGATGTCTCTTGCATACTCATTGGTAAATATGCGAAATGCGTGAAGAAAGTCAACGCTTTTTTCTCACACACACACACACGCACACACACACACACACATACGCGGCTTAATTCACGCTCTATGTACACAAACGTAAAGGTCGCCGTCAATTAACTACATTCTTTTAACATTAATAATACTAGATATCGCGCTTACATGTGTATTTTCGCGCTATAGTGGTACGATCAGTTCTTTCACGCGATCGACATGTGACCAGACACGCCCTTGCCTCGTCCGTTTTTTTCCTGCGGGCTAAATCATCTTCCTCACATCCTCGATCGAGACGCGGAGTGTGTCGCAAGTCCTGTCGCGCGTTTCGTCGCGCGAAATGCGCGCTTGAACGTTTCAGCGATCGCGGGGCTCGCTTGTGCAACAAATCTCCTCGTATTTCTCACGCGTATTCGACTCTGGGTCTTGCATAAAAAGAAGAAATCATGACAGGTGTCTACGTAACACTTGGTCGGCCATGAATGTTTGCAGTCGCGGAAAATCCGTCACAATTGGAACGATCCTTCGCGAGTGTGTAGAAGATATTGCCGGTTCCGTAATACTCGACAGGGCGCGCGCACGAAGGAGACACAACGGTTGCCGTCCATTGAACTATAACCATACTGAAATGAACGCGCCTTTGTCTTCGAGCGATCAGAGGTAGTGAAACGGATAACGTATAATGTTAAGAGAGATAATAAAATGAGCAACGTGCAATCCTTGTCTACTAAGGTCGGTATTCATAGACAAATTTTATATTTAAGACAGTCTTAAATTTAGATCTTCAGATGTTGTATCGTTGATTTTATTGACTGCAAAACAACTGAAGATGAACGTAAAACGGCCTTAAATATAAGATCTGACTATGAATAGCGGCCTATGCGTAGCGATTACGTATTTCGATATACTATCGATCCTGACAACAGCATTTATTTTCGCAACCATTTTCCACATGCAGAAATTATCTCTCCAATGAAGGTTTCCCTAGATTACGTTCATTTTGACAGCTTTTATGCTGAAAATATCATTCTGTTTTTATCGTTCTCTATATTCTGGAGGATAGTAGAATGATGTTTTCAGCACGGAAACTACCAAAATTAATCTATACCGGGTTGTTCTACATTACATTGCAAACATGCCCACGTTGGGATGAATGTTTTCAGACATAGTGGTTTACGCTAAAAAAAGACAGCACGGTACTAATTCTACTATCTCTGTCTGATCGGCTACCACCATGATGGGAGTATATTCATGCGCGTTTTAATGATCGTATATGATTGAATATGATTGTAGTTCAATGCAGTTGGTGCACTGGCGAGGGACGTTCCGTCTGACTAACGCCGACATTAACATATGCATAACATATCCGTGTAGCCAAGCGAAGCTCTGTGAAATTCATTATTATGTACCTTGGACATTTAATGATCGTCCTTCTGCGCGGAGAGACTCTACCGCTATCAAAGTACGATCGCTATCGCTAGCTGTACTAAATCGTGTGAAAGAGGTTCGCTTTTTCGCGCACCTTAAGTATCGCTCGGCCGACTCGGCTCACTTCGCTTTTCGAAGCGATATGAACTTCATAGAGCTTCGCTTGGCTACACAGATATGATATACATATGTTAGTGTCGGCGTTAGTCAGATGGGACGTGGCTCGTCGGTGCCACCACTGGCTGCCATCGGACAGCAATTTTGTTTCTTCTTTCCTTTTCATTTTTTTTTCATTCGACGTAACTGGATTTCACGTATTGCTGGAAATCAGTCCGGCACATGTGCGTTACGGTTCACGGGCGAGCCGCGCGAATACGAAAGGTACTTTTTAAATTTCTCGGAGTGAAGTTTTACTTGAAAAAAGTGGAGTGACAGCCGAGTCGCTCGAATCCCAGTGACTTCCCATTCATATCTATCTGATTCTCCACTCTTAATCGTCGAGTGAATATTTTTACTCGAAACCGAAGGGCGAATCTGACGTGACCCCACCGTCGCAGGAACAAATAGACTCCAATCGGATGTAACATTCGCTTGGGTGGAGCCAGAATCCCCACCGTGAGCTCGAGTGAAACGCTTATTATTACGATTCCAAGTGGAAATATCTTCACTATCGTTATTGAATCGAGTTTCGCTCGTTCTGTGTGAAATCTCTCTCCAAGAAATTCTAAGAGTACAACTCGAGACCCTTGTGCCATTGTTGGCGCTTGAGCATTTGTCTCAGCTGTTCGCTTGCGTGTCAACATGACGACGACGGTTATTCGACACACCGAATAGATCGATCGACGTTTCGACAGCGAATCTTTGGCTTAAAAGACGATGGCTGTGGCTGTATACCGAAAATACGACGATTGAGTGAGCGCTCATTCTTATTAGAATATTCTTCTACATCAATTATGGATACTGAAAGTATCCAGGTGTGATTTGTCGATTCTCGCCCGATGCCCGACTCTCAGCTCGACGTTGGCGAGTATCACGGTAAACAAACTATTATTATTCGATCACGACACGATGTCGGCGCAGACAAGTTAGCCGATTCTTCACTGCAGGCGCCGCCCGCGAAAAGCTACTATTTGATTGCAGCGCGACATAGGCTCAAGCACGATTAGCGAACTCTTACTTGTAACGTAATGTTGCCAATCTTATCATTTGAAGGTTACGCCAATACTGGGCCAAGAATCGGGAACCGGTTGTTGACACTGGGCCGACACTGCTTTATTTCTAAAAACATAGATACACCTCACACAAAGGCAACAACCGTTGTATTTTCTGTATCTATTTATTCTCCGTTTCGCACGACTATCAACGACGATCGCGCGTTCATCGTTCGCGGCGCTTCGATTTTCTTTGTGGCATCGCGACTCGGAGTTTCGACACAATCGAATCAGTCGTCGTCAGGAATGCCCGATTTGATCGGCTTGGCTCGCGATTCGCTCTCTCGCGAGCGAGAACTCGTTCATGCCGTTCATTGCCAAATCGAACACTCTGTCTAACCGGGCGATAATTAGGCTTATTCGCAGCGTGCGATCTCGGGTGGTAACTAAATATATGTCCTTGCCACAAAGTACGTCCCTGACCGCCCTGCTGCCGCCCCCAGGTTACCTTCCACGGACCATCTCCTACCCCATGAGTATATCTTTTCTACTTCTGCGGAGGCTCGATTGAGCTGTACACGGTCGTTTTGTAAACGCTATAGCCTGTCGTGTAAAAGCGATGCTTCTTTTTACGTTTTCTTTTTTGTGAAAAACGATTCTTAACTGAAAGATCAGCGCTTCGAAATCAAATGTACTGAGGGAGAAAAATATCTAAAAGATATTAGATATTTATTCGGTATGATGCTCTAATCGCATATTTACTTATACACTGATATACATAACTTTATATTCAGAATTGAATTTTTTCAAACGAGGAAATGAACGTTCCTTTTTAAATCATGGTTCTCTATAAAAGCAACGATTTTATTTCATTCATAAATAAAACAATATTTATAAATAAATATGTTATAAGTATCCACCGAATAAATATTTATATTTTTTAGATCTTTTTTCCCTCAACATAGATATTTCAGATGCGACAGAATCTCCGTGCATGCATTCAGCTAGTTTAATGCTCTCTTTATCTTTCCTTTACGTGCTGAAATCATGTTCAGATCCATACTTGCTCGGCATAGTTTCAACCGATAACCCCATGATTATTGAGATTCTGCCGCAATACGATGCTGAGGAATTTGAAGGATGGTAGGCTGTGTAATTGAACGTAGCAAGAGTGTCTTTTACACAGTGCGGAATCGTATAAACGTCCTCGACTGCCATCGTTCAACCATCTCTCCCCGATCAGCCGGCGAATCGAATGCGACGGGCAACGTAAGAGAGCGGAAAGCTTCGTTCGTTGGCGCGTGCGCGGTCACTTCAAGATTGGGCGACGTCCGAGGGACGTCTTTTCATCGGCTCGATTTCCGAATCGCGTGGGAGCTATCACGCAGCGCGGGGTACGTATTCGCCAGGTACGTTTCGCCTTTTAACGAACGTGAGCTGAAGCCGTGTGGATGTACGTGCATGATACATACGCATGAGAGCGCGATCCCGATCTCTCTAATAGCGTGCATGCAATGATGACGCATAATCGCCCGCGGAATCTAGTTGACTGAAGTTGGCGTAACACGAAAGCTGAGGAAGCCTCGGCGAAGTTTCAACGTTTTCTCACACCTAAAAGGCACTGCGATCGACATTGTTAATTATTGTCGTTGCACCAACTTCTTGATATTGGAAGAACGATTTAAACGCAGCCGGGCACATATATGCCAGACGTAACGATAACGTGACGAATTCCGGGTATTTTGCGAAAATGTCCTTACACACACACGCACACACACACACACACACACACACACACACACACACACACACATGCACACGCCGCAAGTTAAGACGTGTGCGACTTTAGCTTGACGTCGTGGCGAAGCGTACTGCAGATTGTTTGGTAAACAAGCTGACGCGGCTGTTCGCAGCCGCGTAAGTCCAAGTTTAATCCAAATTTAAGTTTAATTTACCAAGTCGACGTAAATTACGGAATGCTCTTGGATTTACCACTGAGACTACCGAGTGCGATGAGAGGGAAACTGCTATTAGCACGGTAACAACAGCAACAGTAGCAGCAACAGAGTAATAATGAAATGTAGTAATAAAACGTTGTAAAAAAAAAATATAGTAATAATGAAATACTGCAGCGCGTAATAACCTCATTTTGAGAAACATTTTGGATAAACGTTCGGAAGAACAGAGAGAGAGAGAGAGAGAAGTGTAATTTAGCCGCTTTATTGCAGATGCAAATATTTGAATTCCACCAATCGACTGCTCGTCCCATGTATATTCGGCGAATCGTCGATCGGTATATTGCCAACGATCGAAACGCGCGCGATTAAAAGGGAAATAGAATTTCGTGAGCGGCAACACACGAAAAGAGGAGAGACTCGAGTTTTGCTCACCACTTTCGCACTCGGCTCCGTTCGACGTCGGCTCGGTTTAATTTCCCGCTCTTCTACGCCTCAATCACCACGCGCGTCGGAACTCGACCGTGCAAGCGCTCCCAAGCTTATCTGCTTTCGCAGATGATACATACGCACGCTCCGGGACCTGTCCGCTACTAGCGGCGTCCGATCTTGCTTGATTTTTATTTTCATCGTCAGAAAAAAGCTAAAGTGCACACAACCAAGACCTGTATCGATGGTTGCTCTTTGAAATTTGTCTCAAGTGAGATATTCTTGATTTGGATTGAAGTCTGTAATAATAGTCGTTACTTTAAACTTGTCTCATGTAAAATATTCAGATTTGAATATAGAGTTAGACTTGAATTTCTCATTCGGACGCATAATATATCTGACATTGTATTTCTAATAGCGACTTAACTGAAAAATTTCCTTCATCCCAAGCACAAATCTGAGTATCATATCTTAAAACAAGTTTCAAGTAACTATTAATACGGATCTGTGAATTAAATGTGAAGTTTTCAATTGAAGTTATGGATATATCTATGTTATATATATGATTGAAGTGAAAAACTTTCAAATTTCACCCCGCATTTAGATCTGAGTATCTCATATGAGTCACAAGTTTCAAGTGAGATATTTAGATTTTAAGTTAAAGTTAAGTATGAGTTCTTCAGCTGAGTCGCGATGATGAATGTAATGTAATGTCATGTCACGTATATTATGCTCCAAATAAGAAACTCTGACATTTACATTCAGATCCGAATATCTTACGTGAGTCCAAGTTACAAGTAATGACTATCAATACGGGCTCGAAGTGATTTGTACGGAACGTACACGCCGACGTTAAAGCCAAGCTCATTTCTATATGTCAACAGCGTCGTTGAACGATTGTCGAAACATACCGATCCGTTATGACATTTCTCGCATCTTCGCCTCATGAACCGTTTAGCCGAATGCCAACGACTACTCGGGACTAATTAATTATGCTTTGGCCGAAATGTCGCCGTGACGAGAATACTATCCTGACCGGAGCATCGTCTCCGACATTTCCACCAACGTGCCTATCACACGATCGACCCTCTCACGATCGCTCATTCCGCACGATCACTCGCGAGAGCGTCGAGCTGAAGCTTCATCGAACGTCAGCGATAAAGCGATCAAAAGTCGAGTTTCCACGTACCGCGATCAATCATCAATCATGAATCATTATCATCATCAAAGGGCTTCCAGAGGAACGCTTTCGACTCCCTTTCACCCACAGCTTCCGAATACCGTTATGCAACGCCAATATACCATCGATGGCAGCGAGCATATTCCGGCCAGGTGAGGCACCTCCAAGCACCGCATCCCCGACGGCCGTCGCGGGACTCCCCGGACAGCAGTCCCGCGCGGTCGACGTGTATGTGCGTTGTAGTTGGGGCAGGCGAGGTTCTCCCTAGAAAAGCAGAAAGGAAACCCGAGTGCGGCGAGCGTCCCCCTTGGCCCGTCGGGCCATCCCAAACTGTCAGACGGACGGATCGCTGCCGGGGGCGGAGCCCGTCTTGCTGCCGTCGGCGCCAACTCCGCCACCGTCGCCGTCAGCTCCCGCACCATCTCCGCCCCTGTACGGCGAGCCGCCGGCCCCACGCGCCGACAGACCTCGGAAATCCAGGTTGTACTGAAAAGATGTGAAAGACCAGAGGATTATCGATACTGCACACCGATACCGGCCCTCGCACGGGCCTCGCGCGGCTCTGTCATGAGAGTGAAAATTCAGCCGGAAAGGACGGAAGAGAGTCGTGTGCGAAGATGCAGCAAGAAAGATTGTCGCACGTGCTCTCGCCGAATGCGAAGAGGGCTGACTTCTTGCATGACTCCCTGCTTCTTCCAGCCTTTTCCGTAATGAGGCTAGTGTTATGTTTGAAAATGTGTTTTCAAATGCGGTTAAATTATTAAAAATGTTCTTGAGAAGGTGTCACGTGTTGTGGCACTGTAGAGGAGTACGCTCTTGCCGTCATATGTGGCGAGTTTGTTTATGATCTAGTTGTAAGAAAACCTCATGTGTACTCTGACAAATATGTACAACAACATAACATGATTAATTTATATATATTATATATATTATTAATGTATATCATTAATATGATATATATCATATATATGCATAGACTTGATACAATTAATGTATAATATATTAAGATATATAATTTATTGTAATATATTTAAATGTGTATATATGCATAATTTCGCATAATTTTCATACAAAATTTGTATAGTTTTAAATAGCGATTGTTAGTTCATCGCCGGACAAAAACGTGTAAATTTTTTCCCAGTCACTCATTCCACAAAGAGAGAGAGGAGAGAGAGAGAGATGCATGTACTTATTTGTCGGAGTATCCAAGGGATTAATGGAAAGAAATATTATATTTTATTACAAAATATATCGTAGCCATTTATCGAAGCCACCTGCAAAGGTAGCTGAAAATTAATTAATTTTTATCGGTTGTTATTACACACGATCATGTTCTTTTGGGTATATAACCTGCATATCGTTATGTGAAAGCGAAATCTGCGTGTGTTATATCCAAAAGAAAAGATTTACAGGGAACCTATGTTAACTTAGTAAGGCCTACATTAACGGTGATAAGCCGCCGAAAAAGCCAGAAACTATGAGACGGAGGATTGTGTCGTCGTAATTTCGGCGAAATTGTTTTTCGTTACATTGAAATAAAAAATAACGATTATAGTCTCATATAAATTATAATTGTTTTCGCCAAACATAATTTTTTGTTCTAATAAAAAAATATATATGTTATAAAGAATATGAATATAAAATTATAACTACTATCACTCTATGGGAAAAAATATTATTGGGTCTATGCATAATTCCGTAGCGAAAATCGAGTAAATTTCAAATGCAAAATATTTAGCAAGAAAAGCGATTATAATCGATTGCTCGCTTTAACTTGGCCAGCTGTGAGCAATACTTGGTCAAATCAATTGTTTTGTTGGGTGGCAGCAATTCATAATAGACGATTCCTTTCCAATCCTACCAGATACTGAGCATGACCTTCTTCGGATGTAAACCAACCTTTGCGACCGTCTGGGTAGCTTCCCCACGCTTCGACCATGATCTTTTTTAACTGACATTGTTATAAACAATCCACTTTTCATCGCCAATGATCATCCGTTTTAAAAATGGTACATTTTTATGGCGTTTGGGCAGTGAATCGCAAGCTGAAATTCAGTCCATTACATTCTTTTCGCTCAGTTTGTGCTGCACCCAAACATCAAGTTTGTTTACCATCCCAAGCTTCCGTAAATATCTCGAAACAGTTGATTGGTCAATGTTGAAGCTATGTTCGATTTCTGTAGTCGTCAAATGTCGATCGGAGTCGATTAAAGCCTTTATTTGATCGACATCAATAGTGACTGGTCGATCAGAGCGAGGAGCATCTTGGAGATCAAAATCTCCGCAACGAAATTTCGCAAACTACTTCCGACATATATTTTCGCTTACGGCATTCTCTCCGTACACGGAGCATATCTTTTTATAAGTTTGCGACGCGTTTTCGTCTTTTCGGAAAAAAAAAGCGAAATGCACCGAAAATACACGTTTTTGTCCTTCCATGTTTAAAATATAATTAAACTTTGTACGACACTTCATATGTTTGACACATGTGCGGAAAGAAAACTGCGAACGACATCTGTCGGAATTTCGCTACGGAATTATGCATGGACTGAATATATAAAATATTATATAGCTTTCTTCGAATAAATTTTTTTCCACGTTTTCTATTAGTGCAGCAATAGACTATATATATAAGTAGAATTTATCTTGCTAAGAAATATTACACATCTTTTAGAGAATAATAGACTTCAGTTTCTAAAATACCATATATAACGCGTATAAAACGAAATGAAAATAAATTGAGTTAGAATGTCAGCAATGTTCCTCGGTTACAAAATTCCCCAGTAATTTTTACTATTATTTTTCATAAAAAATTCTCTTTTATAAAAAGAACACCCACACACACACACACACACACACACACACACACACACACACACACACACACACACACACACACACACACATATAGAAAATATAATTATATATGAATTATATTATAAATTATATGAGATTTATAAAAAATATTTAATATATAAAAATATAAAAAGTTTATAAAAATATAAAAATATATACATCTTCTGCAAAATTTTCTCTATATACGATTATACTTGATACAAAAGTAACTTTCCCAACTATAAATATTTCTCTGCGTAATTAAAGTCGTAAGTGTCACCTTTTTCTCAGTGCATCACGAAACCCGCGAACTACGTAATACCATTATCATCGCCGAGATAACGACTTGACAATTCGATCCGTCGTGCGTGACGCGAACCAAGAATGAAAATTACGAGAAAGCAACAGAGAAGCTGAAACGAAACCAAGGTCGAACCTGTACGAAAGAACGTGTAGTGTTCTCGGCGTGTGCGTGCGCGTGATACGTATTCGACGATGACACATGCCACGTATGTGTGCGACACGGCACGACACATTATGAGGCGGCTGTATTATCTCGGTAGCGTTGCGTGTCTTAAGTGCTGCAGCTGTGCGTGGTGCAGCTGCAGCTGCAGAAGCTGCAGATTTTGCAGGCAGTACGGTTGTGGTTGCGGTGGCCCAGATGTCGTAAACGGCAGAACAGACGGATGCACGAAGGAGGCGGAATTCCGGGAGGCCGCGCTGGCAGCGGTCGTCGGATTCGACAGGGTGGCGAAGTTGAAGGGAGGTAGGTTTAGGCCAGGCGGTTTTAAAATACTGTGAAATTGCGCGGACGTGAGCGGATGGGGTTGTACGTAGGGACTGGTGGATGGTAACAATTGCGGGCTAATCGGGTACAAACAGTCCTCTTCGGCCTGACCAGGCAACATCGTCGGGCTGAGCTCCACGTATTGCGGCATCACGAGATTGTGCTAGGCGGTGAATAAATGGAGAAGGACAGATATATACTCCAGTTATTAATCTATAACGTATTTCACTCGGCGTCTCTTGAACCGCATGCATGTGAGCATGCATACCTATGCGAATACCTGAACGCGATCATGTTCCGGTCGCGACTTTTGGCAAAATAGATTAATTATCAGTTACCTTTTTCACTGTAAGCTTGAGTGGAACATTCTATCCTGCGATTTCGAGTAGCAGTATTTTCATTATCGCTTCCAATAAAAAGATAGCTACTTTTCACCTATTTCAAATGATATTTCGCTACAAGAAACTTAGAGAATATAAAAATAGTAGCTATATGCATGTAAGGTTATTGTTACTGGTATTGTAGTAACACTTATTAGGAATGGCTTTCTTGACTGTAATTCTTTCACTTATGATTATAGATATAATTACCAAAATATTTTTCTCTCAGTGCACCGCTGAGCAGTCGAGAGCGAATGTAACATTCGCTTGCCTCTGATGGCACACAGTCTGGCGTAACAAATATTCGCATAGGATCAATAAACGATCTTCATCGGCTCTTCCTCTTTCTTACACTAAAAAATTTTATGTTAAAAATTCACTGAAATTTGGTGTTACTTTAATATGGAAGGAATGTGTTAAAAAATACATAAATATGTGTTAAAATGTATACAAATATGTTAACACATTTTTTATGTTAAAGTAACACAAAATTTTAGTGGATTATTTTAACGCAAAATTTTTCACTGTGTAGTTAGTTTCGGTATAATTTATCATGAGAAACTTTCAAATATGATTTCCCGGTGTTTGTGCTCTCTAAATTCTTTAGAGTGAAATTTCACTCGAAATGCAGAGTGACAGCCAATTCGCTCGGTTTCGAGTGATCTTTTTTTATGCAAAATAAATTCTCCATTCTGAATCGATGAGTGAATATTTCCACTCGAAACTGAAGAGTGAATCTGATATATTCCACCATCACGGATACCTATTCACTTTGATCGATTGAAACATTCATTCGCACGAAGTCAGAATCTACTCCATAATATGCCATAAGCTTGAGTAAAATATTCACTCTTGCGATTTTGAATAACAATCTTTTCATCGTTGCTTTGAATCGTTCATTTCGTTTCGAGTGAGGTTCCACTTCGAGAAATTTCGGAAATATACTTCAATAAACGGTCCCGGAAGGCACAAATTACCTGTAAGTACAGAAATTATCGTATTTGCGAACGCTTTATGAGATATCTAAGTTCCATGAGAATGAATGAAAGTATCCTCGTACCGCTCAAGTGATTCTTATCGATAATAGTGCAAATACAACATCTGATACAGACCAACTCAGTCACAAAGGAAATATGCGCAAACGTGCGTCTTTGTCTACTTGATAAACAGATCGATCGGGAATATCGTGTATGCCCATAGCTCACCTTTGTGGCGCAGACGAAGCACGTTGTGACCACCTTCGAGATCACATTCATAAGATTTTTCGTCTCCTGTATTACGTTATCGACCTTCGTGAAAGTGGCGGCCTTTCCGACAGTGGGGTTCTTCACGGTAAATTGGAGCTGCTGGACGTAGGTTGGCACTCGATCCAGATTCTCCAGTAGTTCTTTCTTGTGCGGCCCACCTGGTACCTGCGCCCATGTAACATCGTACACAAATTTATGTCTTCGTTCGTTCCGCAAGGCAAACTTGCTCGCGCTTAATTCTCAGCAATCCGAAAATAACACTTGCAGGAATTACGTATGAATTACTGAGCTTGTATTCGATCTGATTGATTTCGATTATCGAATAAAATTTTAATATAATGCATAATAACTAATGGTATAATATATTTTTAATGACACGATAACAAAATAAATATATGTATGAGTAAATATTTCAACTTGCTTTTCGTTTTTATTTGTTGAATTATTTTTTAACGGTTTAATTTATCGGTAATTGTTGTATTAAAATATTAAAATATATTTATCATTGCAGTGATATAAATTCGTAAAAAGTCTGCAGCATTTGCCATTATATCCGCCCTTACGATAATATATTTGTAGTATTATAGAGTAAATAATAAGAAGGGCGGAATTATTGTGTATTAATAATCATTGAGAATTTATGAGCATGTTTACCTTACGATGTCACTACTGTTTATATTTAGCGCATTTCTTCGAGACTCTGTAAAGCAATGCCTGATTCTATTGTTTGCAGTTTATTGAATGGCTAATAATAAATACTTTGTAGTATAGGTATCGTAGATACTCAGAAGTTTGCATCTAAGAAGTTAACTGAAAGATTATCTATTTGTCCTAGTAGAACACAATGCAACACTTTCAACAGAACATAAAAAGTTGCTTGAGATAAATATCAGAGTGATTTGTGTGAAGTGGCAGTGAAATAGTACAGACCTTGACGTTCTTGCAAGCTTCCTACGTATTGATTTTATAAGACAAGTTTTATCAATGTTTAATTGTATAAACGTTACATACGCTTGAAAAAAAACCAACGAATCTTTCAGATTTTTACGTTTACCAAGATTGTTACCATTTGCTTTTTTTTAAGTATGCATGTAGTTTCACGGCAAGACACCGCGAAATTTAATTCTTCAGTGAGCATTTAGCGAAAAGAAAAGTTAGATTTAATAGGACACGATGTCGGAAGCTAGCAGAAACTGTGAGACATAATACTTATGCCCCAGATAGTGGAAGGAGGGGGACCACAATGCACATAGACGTCGTCCATAGACGGAAGCATTCCCGTAGCATCTAAAACACACCTTACTAATCGTACACAAAAGAGTCGTAAATGTATGTACAAATAAATTCCGCCAACAAAATCGTGATTGTTCATTATGGCAATTCAAGTGACGTGATGCGCGAAAGTAACACACGTTACATGTTGCCGTTGAATAGCAGTGGAATTATATTACATACATCGAGAATCACACCTTTCTTGTGACATGTCACATGTGAGCGCGGCTCCATGTTCAACGAGAGTTTGAAACTCTGTTATTTGCTATTACGAACGTGATTCTCGTACGAATATGAAATGAATCGTCACGTCAGTCCGATAAGATGACTTTCTCGATTATCATTGTTTACAGAGCACTTCGTTTTCGATCGTTTCCGATATTTCTCCTTTACGTTCGTTCTCATTCTCCAAAACAAAACGGTTTTCTACAGTCATTCGTAATGATCGGTAGGCGACCCTACAGTGCGTGATATTAGCATAGCAATATATACATATATATACATATGTACATATATGTATATATGTATATATATGTATATATGTATATATATACAGAGAGATAATATGTACAACGGTAACGATCACACTCAACGACAGTGGAGTAACGACGGCGCAGAGAGAGCGCTATGTATATAGCAATGAGAGAATGAGATTTGTATAAGGCGCATATGATTTCTATTAATTCAAAAAGATCTAAAGTAAAGAGAGAAAAAGTTACCTGGATGGAGGCATTCAAGAGCGAGGGTAAAAAGAGGTTGTATAATATAGAATATATTACAAGGTTAGCGTTTTGTTGTTTCTTTTAAGAAGAGTATAGAGAGAGATCAAAATGGTTTCAGGTGACTATATATATATATATGTTCGGCCTCTAGCTAGGAGGGTCGAAAGGGCAGCAAACGTGTTATTTCGAACATGTCTAATGCTAATCACGCGTGTCGAAGCTACTTCTAGTCTATATGTAGCGTTAAATGATATCCTCACATATACAAGCGACGCCTTTCGTTATTTAATTCATTAAAAATCCCCCAAATTTCTAGTTTCTCTTCTTTTTTTCTCCTTCTCCCCCCCCCCCCTCTCTCTCTCTCTTTCTCTCTTTTTCTTTTAAGTTTTTCTATCGGTTAAAAAAAATTTACGAAATTTTCAATCAATTTTTTCCTCGCGTCTCTCGAGATTTTCAGGTAAAAGTTAAGTTTCGATATCTTCCAGTTAAGATTAAGTAATATCAATGTGTTGACATGTATTTGTCTTCAACATATTACAATATGAGTGAAATCTACATGCATTTTTTCTACATACGTTGAGGTTTCCATTGCGCGATATATGATAATGAGAGTAACAGTGAGATTAATTCCTTAACCTTCACTAGAGGATCTTCAGTGGTAGCATTACTTGGTAGTACTTAATAAGTAAGCGAAGTTAAGTCGACGCAGACTCGATGCAGCTTCGACGTTGCGACTTACGAAAAAACGAAACTCAATAGCGTAAGTAAAAAGACTCCCAATATAGCAAGGATCAAGAAACTCGGAATCAAGTCCAATATAGAGTCCGTATAATAAACAATGGTAAAAGAATGATCGTAAGTAAGAGGGTGATGTATATATATATAATATATATCAACATCAGTCCAATTAAAAAATGTATGTCATTTCATTTTCGATCTACGTCGGCGTGCTAGCCGGCACGTACCTGGTAACTGAATTGTCTCACAACCTTGTACAATCTGTTCGCCTCCTCGGCGAAATACTCAGCTTGAGTGAACAAGTCCTGGGTGGTTTTTAAGGCGCCCTCGCCTCTCGTGAATTGGTACATGGAGAATGCCATCGAGGACATGTTCTTCGCTCGCTTCACAATGTCGTTGTTCTCCTCCAGGGCGCTTCCACTTTCTTGCCACTTCTCTGTCTCGGCGTCCATCTCCGAGGTAATCAGCTTCATTTCGAGGCCCGCCTTAGCGATTTTTGCCTGCTCTTCGCTGTCTAATCGCACTGGCTTTAGCGGCTTGCTCGTCGTACCGTGTTTCTGAAACAAGCAATTCCAAAGTTCGCTCATCGTGTCTCGCATCGTCAAGTTAATCGTTCGAATTCTATTCTCAGACGAGCACAGGCGGAATCTGACCTGTTATCCTTGTTTTTAGGCACAACTTACACGGCTGGAAAGTATATATATAAAATTTATTACAATTCAGTTACACAGCTAAATAGCAAAAAGCGGTAAGGTGAGGAACTAAACATTGCTAGCGCGTTCAAAAACATAACTAAAAACTTAAAAATGTCGCGCTTCCTCAGGAATACACACCATAATATATCAATCTGCCATTGACCATTTGTTTCCAACATGTCTTTCTCAATGGTAGATTGTATAATTTATTTTGTAAATAAATTTTCCAACATTAAAGCAAAATTTTAAATCTTTTGCCAAACAAAAAACTTTTTGCTTGTAATATAATTAAGGTAACGCTTCTCGCTTGCAATATACTTCGCTAAGCAACGCCTAAAATTTTTCTTAGTTTAACAAATTAGATCTTTCCCAAAGGTTTGGTTAATATATCTGCTATCTGTTCAATTGTATTAATACGTGTAACTGTTATTACATTAAAAAAATCTTTTCTTTTATGAAATAGTGTTTTATGTCTTCGTGTTTTCTTATGAAATTCCGGATTTTCACTCACTCGAATTGCGGATTGATTATCTTCGTATAGTTTAACGCAAACGAAATCCGCTTGAATATTGAAATCTTTATTTAAAACTCTGAGTTATCATGCTTCGCTCGCTATTAGGCTCATCTTCATATATTCCGTTTCGGTAAATGACAATGCTATTGTGGACAGCTGTTTCTTACTAATCTACGAGATAGGTCAGTAAAACACTTGAAAGAGTAAGTAAGCCGTTGTTGATTGACGGTCAATATTATTACCTTACCAATCGGAATGGATAAATTCTACGATAAAATCATTTTTCATCTTGCTACGCTTAAAGACTAAATTTAAGTTTATGGTGCCTTTAATATATTTTAAAATACACTTTAATGCTAGCCAAAGTTCTTCACTCGCGCACGAATGATATCTACTCAAGATATTTGTAGCATTACAAAAATCTAGTCTTGTACATAGTGTTGCCTACATTAAAGTATCAATTGACTGTCTATACCGGTGCTCTTATGCCTTGGATTCAGACTTTTTTCTTTTCAAGAGTTTCTTGCTTAACATTTATTTTCATCGGCATTGATGTCGCATTGCACTGCGTCTTTTTATATTTAGTATTAATGTTTTCTTGATATTTAGATTGATTTAAATATAATTTCACTTTTCTCAAAATTTTTGTTCAATAACCTAGAAAACGTTTTACATTTCCAAAATCTATCATTTTAAAGTGACTGTTTAAAACATTTATTACTTCAAATTCTGCCTTGTTTATCCATGCCAGTCAATAGCAAGTCATCTACGTACAGAAGTATAAAGGTCTTGCCTGACTTCATTGTTTTTACATATAAACATAAATCATAATCTGGTCTAACAAATCCCTGTTCAATCATTATTCGTGAAATCTATTATTACATCCCTTTGGTGACCCACTTAAACAATACAAGATTTTTTTAAGTTTACATACCTCGTTATCTTTTAAGTTGAAACTCTGCAGCAATGACATACATGTATACGTCATTATCTATTTTACCATATTAAAAAGGCATTGAACATATCCATTTGTAAAAACAGGTACGTTTAGGTTATAAACGACTAAAAATGCTCTCACTGTTGGTAACTTTGCTACTAGACTGTAAATACTGTAAGACATATACGTAATACTACTATATAGCTAGTCGTTCTATGCTACCTATAAGAGAGAGCCGTCTCAGAAGGCAAGGACAGACGATGCTCGATATATGTATTTTGACTGTAGTGCGTAAACGCGGCGATCAGATGATTATATATATATATATATATATATATATATATATAAAACTAAACTTATATTTTTTAATTATACGAATTTTTTTATTAAAATTATATTATTAATATAAATTATTTAATATAAATTATTAATTTATACCATAAGTTAGAACATGTTTAATATTCCGATATTTTTGTTAAATAAATTCTACTCCAAATTCTGTTATAAAAAACAATCTGTTAAAAATTTTAAAAATACCAGTCCATTATTGAAAAAAATTTATTATTAAAAAAATATACCGATTGTTTAATACGAGCTGTTTTTCTCGGTAATCATTGTGTACTTTTATATGCGTACCCCTGGCCGCGGTAAAGACATGTAGACTTGTTTCTCCGGCCGGTTTTGGCTAAGCTCTAGAACATCTTTCGCCACTGTCGTCACGTCGGTCATGAGCCACTGCCACATGTCGGCGAATACTGTAAAATATACGAAGACGTCAAGCGGACAACAATCAGATTTTGTCGCGATATTTATTTAACGTCAAATCTAATAGCAGAGTAACGTACGAATAACTTACCTTCGAGATTTTCTTTGGCTATCTTACTAGTGGGATGCCTAGCTAATGTATACGCGGCTGTTACCACTTGAGGGCCGTATATTCTCAAGTTAATCTCCGTGAACTTCGCCGACACTTGCAACGATTCCGAAAGTGCAACGTGTCTAAGAAGTTTGCACACCTACGGAAGGCAGAAAATAGTACGCATAGTATAGGTCCGATATTTAGAATTAAATTAGACGGTATACCGTCCGCGAAGCGATCGTAAATAGCGATTCGTGACGATCCTCGATATAAGGCCTATCCAGGCAAATTTATATATTCGTACGATGCATGTACATAGGGAAATTAACTAATTAAAATAATGGAAATATTAATTTTTAAGAAATTAAAAAATCTATTTTTATAAATAATATATGTTATTTTTTTATATGTAATATGATAAATCTTTCACATATATATCTTCAACTTGCAAAAAAAATGTGCCTGAACTCAACATATTGTAGATACTCTTTATAAATAAACAATTTCAGTGACAAACCAGACTATTTTTTATCGGAAAATCGAAAATGTCCAAATTTACTTGAGGAACTCTAATGAAAAGATGTTTTTTTATATTAGATACATGATCGGCCGATTTTTATGTATACACGGGAAAAAGTTGTACTAATATATTATTACCAATATAATTGGTCAATAGTGTTACATGGCGTAAATCTGCTTGATTCAATAGCATTTATTGAAATTAATACTCGAGTTATTAAAACAATATGTGACATATTAGTTTCGATAATATTGTCATTGAATAAAGAAGATTTACGCCAATTGCAGCGCCAGTTCTATTGTCACAACATTATGCATTATGTAACTATGCATATGTCTAAATATCAGTTCTTAATACTTCATGGAAAGATTTGCTTATTTGCACAACGGAGATAGATATTTGTACGCGCGAACACGTGGACGTCGCGTTGCTGGGAAGCTTACTTCGAGAATGTGATCGATATACTCGCGGAACCTGTCGCTGCTCTCTTCTAGACGGTCGATGTCATTGGCCAACGCGAGATTTCTGATCGTTGACACGAGCTCCTGGCCGGCTTTTGTCACTTGTCCAAGATCGCCGGCTTGTTCCATTGTCGTCGTGCTAAGTTGCTGGCGAAGGTCTCTGGTCGCCCGTAGCACACCCATTACCGCTTGTTCCATTTCCGAACTGGGTGAACCCCCGCCGCCTTCGTAATTCTGACGGAACACGATGTCTATCGTTTCATATCGTTTATCACCATTCGACTTATTAGGTTATCGATTATTATTCGTTCGGGTCACTCTATTCGAAATAATAGCCACAACTGAACAAATACAATTGATTACATATTAATTTTTCATTCTACAAGTCTGCGGTCTTAAAAATTATAGATAATGTTTTTAGCAAATAGAAATAAAATTGCGAAAATGTAATTAAATAATTGCGTTAAATATGATTAATATGAGTATCATTAATTTCTTAGTTGCTAAATTTAACTGATAAATTTAATTCTTGGATTTAATTATTAAGTCTAATTGTTAAACTGCTACTAAAATTATGAAACAGCTATGAGGGGCAAATGCGGGAAGGTTTTCGTTTAGAAGAAAAGAAAACAAACGGTTTCACGTTAAAAAGAAAAAGAAAACACCTTTCGTTAAATTTCACGTTAATTACTAAATTTCACTTATTGTACGCGTTTCCCGTATTCGATGGTGTTTAGTGGGTTCTCCTCATTGCGAGATAAGTTGAAAGACCGACTCACCATGCTATTGCCGATCCGCAACAGCGTATTGAGCTCGAGCTTCGCGCGATCGCAAAGCAGAAGGATGTTTTCTCGGTGCTCGTGGCTCGTGTAGGCGCTGTCTGTGAAGTCCTGCGTTCTCTCAACTACTGTGTCAAGTGCCGACGTAAGTGTCTCGCGGCACCCTGGTCCCAGCAGGGTCATCCTCGTTGTTTCAACGAGCCTTTCGAAGTGTTTCAATGCCGAACAAACAGTACTACTGTCCCAGTCTTCTTGCTGAGGACTCTGTAAGTAACAGCGCGGATTGTGCGATCGTAAAAAAGAGGAAAATTCGTCATTAAAAATATTTTGCTCTTCGGGGAGAGCATGCGAAAGAAAATTTTCTGAAAGTTATCCAAGAGTTCCACCGATCGAAGATCCCAACCATCAGGTTCCGAAAGTTACATACTCAAAATAACTCACAGTCATGTGTGCGTACGTACGTGTATATATGTGTGTGCATGTGCGTGCGCGTGCGTGAGTCTGCCTGTGTGCTTGTGTTCTCTTACGATAGTTGTCCGTAAATTTTTAACGTTTAATATTTTATAATAATATTTTCTTAGAAATTTTGTCGAATTTTAACAGTGTATTAATTGAAACACAATCTACATACATGTAAAATTACTAAAAGATTGACCATATTAAAGTTGAAATAATTGAAATCAAAGTTAACACTGTTTACATGTATCATAGATAAAAACGGCTTCCGATATTACATTACGTTTTTAATTCTAGAAATCAATCTATTTTTATTTTTATTTTAATGAAAAACGAAAAAGCGATAAAAGAAATTTGTTATAAAAAACGTTATAAAAAGAAATGTTATTGAAAATTATTTAGATGAAAAATCGTTAAGGGAATGCCAAAGTTGATGATGTACTTGATAAGCGTCAATAACGTAGCAGCGATTTTTGTTATTAATAAACTTCGAAATTTGTCTGATTTGCTCCGCTACGCTTATGTATAGCTATGGCCATCAGTGATTATTTACCGCTTCTTATTGATACACTGATTGCATTTCAGAGAATGTCTTACTATGCAATTGTTGTTAATTTTCCGATGTCGTAGAGCGTAAATAACGTACAAATAACAGACACGGCATGAACGCTGTCGAATTTCTCGAGACATTTCACGCTCCAGAGCGTCCCACTTTGGCCGGGTTGTCTACAATCACTACAGAATCGATTATGTCGCGCGGAAGAGAGCGTGGATAGTACTTAAGTGTAAAATACAAAGGTGACTATATATTTTTCTAGTACGGTTACTCGCGTAAAGGTCCTTCATCGTGACCCGACTCTCTCTCTCTCTCTCTCTCTCTCATGCGCGTTTCCTCAACGAAATCGGAAACGTTGCTTTGGAAAAACAACAGAAAACGCGAAGAGCGGCGTGGAATATCCGGTCGCGTTTGTGGTTAGTGCCGATGAAGAATCTTGGACGCGGTGGTAAAGTATATGGCATATCGAAATGTCGATATGCAAAGCGCAATATGCGAGCGCGCGATTTGGCACGGCGCGGGTAACAATTCGTGATCTTAATGGTCGTTTCGGCGTCACTTGTGGACGCCGACGCGATTTCATCGTCGCGCGTATAAAAACCATCGCCATCGTCTGTCTCCCCTTCTCTTTCTCCCTCTTGGATATAACGGTCGGGCGGGGCTTTCATAAACCGTTGGTTTCAGGAATCGCGCCGGGAATTACGCCATTCCGCTCCGGAGCTCGAAGCGTTGCAAATTGCTCGCGATTTTTCGCCCCCGATTTCAGCGCGTGCTTGTTCCTAAAAGAAAAGTCGCGTCGGACGTGATGTACAATTCGCGATTTCGTCCGCATGAGCTGCTTCTTTTCAGCAGTCATCGTCATAAATACGTCCTCTTCCTCCTTCTCACATGTGATGACGACTACGACTCTACTCCGCGTCATACAAAGTGGATCATTTTAATTTCACGTAACAGGCTGAAACTTGCAGTTCCATTTATATCACTGGTTTCCCCTATTCTCCTTATCGCGTGTATCCCGCTTTCGTGCAATTTTCCGTGCACTGTGTGTAGAGGTTCGTTTCTCTCTTTTATATCGTAGCTTAACCAGACTGAGCTGATCTTTTCTTTTTTCGTTTTATCGCCGTGCTTAACGTTCCGCGGTATATTTTTCCCTAAAGAAATTTCCAATATTCGCGATGACAAACGACAACTTGCAACGAACTCATATCAATGACAGAAAGAACGTGTTAGCGTGTACGAGCGTGAAGGATATTTAAAATATACCAGTTATCGATACACACGTAAATTTCCCGAAGTCGTAATATCGTAAATAACCGAACGCACAAGCGTCCCAATCGTAATTGATATTCGCGGGCCATATTCTGCTGATCCCTCCGCCATCTTCGAGCTCTCCCCGCTATCGATTTCATGCTAGGCCAGACATCGCGCCATTATTTATGGTTTCTCGAGCCGCCGGAGGTATATGGGGGTCGTTTCGATATCTCGTTTACAACTTTTGCAAGAGCACTGCGAGACGCGGTAGGCCAAGGTCGTTTATATCGCGTATTAGGCAAGGGATTCGTAAATCATAATTTGGCGGACAAATGCTCTCCCTGGAACGCTTCCAAGCTTTCGGAAACATTTCTCTATACACGGTTTTTTCCTCACCGATCCTTGCAATATGGAGATATATGTGTGTTCGATGCACCGGAACAGGGCTGAGGAATGTATGGACGCTTTCGGGTGGGCCAACATCGCGTGTTTGGCAATCATTATTATTACGGTATTTCTCTCTGCGAGTAATTCCGCCAAACACGAAAGTGCCGTGAGTTTCCGTTAATTATTATTTTCAACGAGGAGACGATAAAAAGCCAATAAAACCTAACGCAACATCTAATTTAACTTTTAAAGGGTTTCTTTAGATGTTCCTTCAATTTTCGCAATGAAATAAAAAAAGAAACATCTAAAGAACCCTTTAAAAGTCACCTAAACATTTCGATTCTTATGTTTCCTACAAAGAAAAAAGAAATGCGGAAATAAAAATACATTAGAATTGTTGGATTAGTAATATACCATTAGAATGTGGAATGCCGGAATCTTGGAAAAATATCCCAAACTTCCAGATTGAACAATTCAGCAAAATGTTCATTTTGCAATCGTTGAAAGCTTTCTCAGTTGAGAATTGATTATTCTTTTAGATCTAGAGGGATAATCCAATCTTAGCACAAAAAACTGCCAGTTATAAAATAAATGTTCTGCTGAACGCGGCCATTGACACGAAACTGTTTAGGCGATTCTTAGAAGAGGTCTTAGAATGATATACATAGTCAAATGTTATGTTTAAGATTGTTTCGAGTTCATATTCAGATATTCTATGGAATTGTTTGTTTCATTGGCTACGAAGCACCTGAAAATAAATTTGAGACGATCTCAAATATAAAATTTGACTATAGCTGCGATTCATTTCGCACACTTATAGTGCTCTAAGCATCATTCAATCCATTCATTCCATCTTTATTGCTCATTTATTGCTCATTATATGTCAAAGAAAGATATAATGCTTACAGCACTATAAGCGAATTGGACCGTAGCTTATCTCTCTCTCCTCTCCCCTCTCCTCTATCTCTTCCTTTCTCTATCTTTCCCTCTTCCTCCTATTCCCCCCCCCTCCCCCTTCTCCCTCCCACCTTCATAGTAATCATATGTGAAATTATTATTGTTTGAGAGCTCAACATTCGGCGCCTTGTTTACCAATACATATTGCGTATATGTAATTGAACTAGCGGAACATTATTGCATAAATTTACATTTCATATTGAAAATTATCCTAAGCTGGACACACGTACGCACGCACGCACATTATTGAAACGTCTGTATAATATATAATGCCTGTATAATATATTAAATATCTATATTGTAGTGTTTATTCGCGAACTTTTAACTAGCGCTTAATTCTGATAGGCCTTTATCAATTTTATTTATCGATTTTAAAGTAAAAAATCAAAGGCTTACTTCCGGTACGGAAAAATTTCAAGAATGTGAAAAAATTAATTTTTTAATGGTATATTAATTATTATAACAGCATACTAGAAATAGTATACTATTTTAATAGTATACTAATAATAGTATACTAGTTCACATTTTTTGCACTCTAGTCCTTTTTTGTACGGGTATTGCACCTATTATAGATCCTGACTCATCATCGATTCTCTTTAAGAGAGTATGTTGCTTCTTATTGGCTTCTTTTCGTGTTCAGTTGATTGTGTATCTGAGAACCTTGATAGTTTTATTTGTTATTACGTTAGCATTATTATCTTATATTCGTTCCTCGATCATTCGGCTTCACTATTTAATACATGGTGCGACGTATTATTTTCATAGTCCCATATGGAAAATACAACAAGGGTATAAAAGAATGATTGGTATACTAGTATAATGGCGTATTATTGGAAAACAATAGTTTTTCAATAACACACCAGTAATTTTTTCGTTTGTAATTTTTTTCCGTACGGGATAGCTGCGTCGGTGGGCCGAAGAAATTAATAATCGTTTCTAGGGGATAACTTTGTGAACCCGCGATTTAATTATTCCCTGTAAAGAATATTAATATTGATACCTGCTGAGGAATATTCCTAATACTCGCGCAGACGTTCATACAATCCGATCCGTGAAATGCATAGATAGCTCACCTGCGAATTCGAGTAGGACTGTGACTCGCTGCAATCCAATACACCATCCTTGACGACGTAATGTATCAGATCCATAGCTCTTCTCATCTGGCAGAAGACTGTATCTCGGTTTTCCTTCGCGGATGGACATTCGGGATGCCTCAAGCATGTTTTGCTAGATGTGAGCAGCATCATGGTGCTCCTTTCCAGTACTTGTCGAGCCGCCGCCATTTGCGCACGTCGCCTCTCGTCTTTCAGATCGTTCTGAGAAAAGAAACACGACGTCTAATTAATGTATTCGCTGTCAGTCTGATCAGTGAAAATATTACTGGTTGTGTCTAAAATTTGTGTAGATTTTAGTAGCGGACACTGTATATACATTTATGTATATGCATTCAATTGTATATCGTATTTGACGTAATTCGTATAATAGCAGATTTAAGAGCCGGAAATGTCAGGTCGAGTTTTGTCAAGATAAGCGTGAGAGAGTTCCATGTAAATTAGACCAAATAAACATTATTAAGAATATTTCAGGTAAAATCATTGATAACATTTTAAGATTAAAATAATAAAAAAATAAGTAATATCGTTTTTCATGGTTTCTGTAATCAGATTTCATTGATGGAAACAGTTGTTGAAATTTGTTTAATATTTTTCTGATTTACTACTATATTACTATACTTATAACTATGATCACCAATGACTATTGACTGCTTCTTAATGATATACCACTGATTGCACTGAAAGAGTAACTTGTATTTTTTACGTAAGAATATTATATATATCTTTTCTTTCTTCCATTGACACTACAGCCTCTTGTAAAGCCTTGGGGGTCTACCTTTCTTTCACGTATGTATGTAATGCGCACGCAAATTATACACATCCGTACGCGACCCACAGTTTAAACGCCGGTTCCAAACGGCAAATTTTTTGAGAGAAGTTCCATGGCAAGAATACTCTTGGTGGCTTGCCAGACCACTAAAGAGGAAACACGAGCGCATGAAAATTTGTATGGCTCTGCCGGGAGCCGAACACGGGGCCTTTAGCATAGCAGACCGGTACGCTATCTATCATGCTACACTCGTACGCTCAAATATACATTCTGTCAAATAAATATCGGGAATTGTTCAATAAAACGCAAAATATTGGTTTAGTCATACAAATTTATTTTGTTGCCTTCAAAATAGGTCCCATTTGATGCGATACACTTATGCCAACGAATAATCCAGTCGTCGAAACACTTCTTATAAACAGTTAAATAAATACCGGGAATTGTTCATTTCAAAAGCCCAGGTAAAAGATATGAAAACAAAATTTTTGCTATAAGTTGGTATCAATGTACCTAATTGTCACGTAGAATTTTGACGTCATCTGTCAACCAGTTTGTTCACAGCTGTTGATTTTATTAGTCGACCTCAAGTGTACTCTGATTTTTTTAATGGATATAAATATCGAACTAAGAGTTTGCTTCGAATTTTGTGTCAAAGATCTCACATGTTTAAAATGTTACAAGAAACATTATGGATCACTGATCACAATAAAATTGTATTAAACTGACAGTTGAAATGTCACTTTTAAAGTGAAAGATAATATGTCTCATCAATCAGATAGACCTTTTAGAACCTTAGAAATTTTCCCCTCAACATTTTGCTTCATTAATGCAATCCCTGACGAGTTATTTGACCGCCTTCTGCTTTTGAAGGATCTGGATCTAGTGAGGCTCAAATTTGGGACCTGACTCAACTTAAGCTACATATTTGGAAAGAAAAAATCGACAGGAACACAAATCAACATGATTCGTGAAAAAAGGTATTGCTATTTTAAAAAATTTACTTGGTTTTCATAGAACTCAAGATTCCAAATATCAAGATTTGGGACTGAACACAAATGGACATCACAATTAAACATCAGATAGGTTTTTGGAAACTCAACAGTTTTCCCTCTAATATTATTTTTTTTTAGTGCATAACTGACGAGTTATTTGATCGTTTTCATACTTTTGAAGGACCCTGTATATATGTATATATATATACATATAAATAATATATATAGGGTCCTTAAAGAAATATATATATATCGCGGCAATGTGCTTTCCGCCGTGAGCGGCAAGCTGGACGTTCGGAATGCGAGCGGAACCCGTTTCTATGAGTCAAGCCCGACTATTGACAACAGAGAGAAAGAGAACAAGGGAGAAAGAGAAAGCTGCCCGCGGTAGTATTAGTATTATATAATAATACCAAGGTTCCTAAATTTTGGATCATTCCCACTGCTTTTAAACGTTTGCTAACTCATCGATATTTAGAATTCCCGACAACTCTTTGTATGTCTGACATGAATCTCGCTCTAGTAATACCCAATTATCCATCTTCAATCTTTTTTGTGACCAGCATGCACTTTGTCATTCACGTCAAAATTGTTGCCTTTGAATCGTCTAAACCAATCTCTGCAAGTTGTTTCAGATAGAGCATGCTTCCCACAAGCCACTATTAGCAAACGATGTCTTTCAGCAGCAGATTTCATGGGATGTAAGCAGGAATGTAATGGTTCCCGTAAATGCTTTTTTTATAGTACGAAACACGACATCTTCAATGCAATAAAAAATTGTGTACTACGATCTAATATCATACACTGATTATAGCTTATTGACAGTACTTTCATATATATCAACAGCCACTTTCAGCCATGTTAAAATAGCACAACTACTGAACTCTATTAGTCAACGGCGGAAATTAATTCAAGCATCTAATATTAGGTTGTCACAAAAGTTTTGTCAATTTCTTGTATATATTTATTTACATTTGATTTGTTACTAGTCTTTCCAATATGAAATCTCAAATTTGTGATTAAAAAACTGACAAAACTTTTGTAGCAACCTAACACATAGGATGTTTTATATATATATAACATTCTATATATATATATATATATATACATCAGCGTGTTGGTTTTCGTTTGCCTCCCTTTCTATTTATCTTATTAAAATACTTCTTGTTATTTTTCAAATATTTTTTCTCTCAGTGTATTCTGTTCCGTATTTCTTCATAAAGGATAATATTTTAATAAATATTATTTTTAAAATCCATTTATATTTGTATGTTTATTAAGTATATATTTTAGGTTTAAATAAAATATTACAACTATATACCAATCCAATGTGTTAATAAAAATGGAAAGAGTATAAAACTGAAAGAAAAATGATGATTGTTGAAAGATCTGAGGAGTGTCTTTTTTTAGACTTTTTACATCTTGATTGTATTGCAGAAATTAATTGTGCACAGTAGAATCTTTTCTGATAAATGAATCATGAAACGTCATCGATATCGTAGGATATAAATCTTACCTGACGATCGCCCGTTAAATGCGCTAATTCGACCATTTCCGCTCCAAATTGGCTGAACGCCTTGACGAATTCGGTGAAATTGGAGACGCTTTCAAGACGCCCAAGACTGCGGGCGACCTTATCCTTGGCAAGAAGTAATTGCTTGACCACGACGATGTCTGCCAGTAAGAGAACTTTTGTCACCGAGCCTAGAAGACATCTGGCAGCTCTTACGACAGAGCCTCGGTCAGCCAGGCTATCTTCCATGGCGCATTCGCATAATTTCTCGATCGCCGATCCTAAACACAAAAAGACGCATATCATTTGAAAATGATCACGTAACTCGACTTGCAAAGTTCTTTAATAGAAAAGTATAGTTATTTTCGGTGCCAACAATATTTATTTTTTGATATTAACCGTAAAAATAGTTAGGGGAACCATTTTTCTAGTTAATATTACTAAAATGTTAGTGATAATAACTTGACATATACAGGGTCTGCTACCAAAATCCGGCCAAATTTAAATTTGAATCTCCCGCCTCGTTTGCCTTCGGCGGTAGGTCGTTGTTGTCGTTTGGGTAAGTTAGATGTTTATAGTAAGCATGCATAGCTTCAAAATGTCTGAGCAGACAAGATCGAGTGCGGAGTATAACCGAAGGGCAGCGATAATCGAAAATCTTCGCGTTGGGTGTTCGCAGACCGAAATTATTCGGTTCTTCGGGTATCCAAGATCGACTGTATATGATGTTGTAGCTATATATTTGGCTTTGTAGACGTCCGTAAAGGTTCTGCCAACCCGACGACGAAGAGTCTTTCGAAAAAAAGTCTGTAAGGACTCTAGCAATTATCGAAAAGGCTCAAGAGTGCATCTCAGAGGACCCACGGCTGTCTTTAACGAAGTTGGCAAAAACAATGAGTGTGAGTGACACTACAATATGTCGAATTGCCGAAGAGGACCTACGCTTCAAATTCTATGTGATAAAAGTTTGACAAATGCTTTCCGAAGCTGCCAAGATGAACAGAGTTGCTCGCTATAATTTGCTTCTGTGTTGGTTGAAAAACGAAGCTATGGGACACATCAGGTTTTTTTCGGACGAGAATATGTTTCCTGTCGATGCCAAGATGAACCGAAGGAACGACCGTTGACTTGCCCACGATCCCAAAGATATTCCCATAATAGTTAGAACGTTTCTGGCTTTTTTTCACGTCCTAGGCGTCGTCTCCAGTGAGGATGTCGTCATGCCGTCACATTTCTTAAAAAAAAAACTGTTACAAAAGAGGTTTACGCGTTTTGACGAGAGTGAAGCCATAGATAGATACCGTGGCCGACGAGAGGCCGTACATCTTCCAGCAGGACGGCGCGTCGGTGCACACAAGTCACTTACTTCAAAACTGTCAGTTAATGTATCACTTGTAAACGTTTTGCAAAATAGTTTCACTGACTATGAACATTAGTATATTGCGTACAAATATTTCTAGGTGGCAATCTACGGATACTCTTTATTTCTGACACTCTTATCTCATATTACGATGAGTATTACATTTTGCCCTATCTGACCACTTCCGCCACATGCAATGTGATTATATAATTTGAATGACATAACAACACTCTTTCACGTCTGGTATCAATTATCACATAGGTTAAAGTCCAAATAAATAATTCAACATGAATTGTGGTTGTTTCATTTCTTTAAACTCAAAATGGACATGTATAAAAAAATATCTGTCGCTTAGATTTTTGTGTTTCATAACATATTTCAGTTCAGTTAGTTTCCTTGTGAGAACAATCATGCAAAAATTCAGCTGCATTGAAACTCATTTGAAATAACTGAAAACAACTGACTGAGAAGGAACCTTATACAGGAATTTTTTTGTTCTGTTATAGTCGAGTTTTCATTTGATGTCTGATTCAGACAACGAAAAACTCAGTTACACTTGAAGAAAACCAAACGAAAGGAGAAAGCATAAAAGTCAAACGGCACTAATAACACAATTGAACGTGCATGCAAACAGAAACTACCACTTCAACTCCAAATTCATACTAGCTTAATTTATTGTACACAGTAAATGTCAGAAGTTCTTGTCCGAAACAAGATTTAAAACTTCACAACTGAGAAACATGGGTGTTTGTTTATTATATCTATGTCAGTTTTAGTGCTTTTCTTTCATGATTTTCATCAGATCCTGAATAAGGGAGGCTTCGCAATTTGCTTGGTCAATCGGTGGCGTTGCTCGATCGTTGCAAACACCCTTTCGTGCGGCGATTCAAGTAATCGATTCACGCGCGTCGCTTTGACTCCATCGGGAGAATATTCCCGGCCGTACACAATGCAGATTTGCGTACGCGTTCGCGAGCGGTTTTGCGCTCATCAGCGAGGTACCATCAAATTGCGGGAATAAACAGCTCGGAACACCGTTTTACGATAACCGTGATAACGCGTACGCGCTTATGGACGATCAATGCGACTAATGAATTACCAACTTTACTCGTTAACGGAACATTTATCCGCCGTTTACCGTTTCTGTCCGTGCCGTTAAATCGATTTGATACTTCGCAGCGCGCATCCCTCTTTACGCATCTCTCTCCTCAGACGCGGGGACGATTGAACGATTAATCCGGACCTTTGTGCGATTGGCGAATGTGAGTCAGCACGCTGTAATCCAATCGGAATTATTTCCGCTAATTTCCGCGGAAATAATAAAACCGCGCCGCTTTTATCGTCTAGAATGGAAAAAGTGTCGCGAGAAACGCGTCTTCCGCGTGAATCTACATCGCGCATCTTTCGCCAATCGACAGGCCATAATGAAAATCGCTCTTTTGTGCCTCGGAACACACGCGGAAGCTGCGGGAGCTTTTTTATAACCGCGACCGAGGTCCGGTTGGCCGACATAGAAATAGGATTTATATATCGACGTTACGTCGCGCAAATATCGGCTTATTTGCAATCGCGGATCCAGGACTTGCACAGAGTATAATATCGTGATGAAATGCGCGTGTTTGATTTCGAGAACGTCAACGATCGAGCAGCCCTCTCCGATATTCCCGCTCATTTAACGAGTCCGATCAATTGGTCGGTCGGAGTTGGACGGAGTCGTTAATTTGATTCGGGCGAATGTCACGCGACGGGACGCGAATTAAACGAGACATATGAATATAGTGGAAAACGCGGTTAATATATATTATACATAGTTAATTCGGCGGAACGCAGAACTCGGTTTGTTCCACATTAAACTAAGCTATATGTTCCAGTCTCCGGAAGGTGAAAGTATTATGAGAGAATGCTATAAAATTCAGCCATAAAGAGATTCTTCTTGCGCAGTTAGCATGTAAATTAAAAGATGGATTAGTCAGACCAGGAGCAAAAATAAATTAACTGAGCGTTAGTTTTCCCGCACGCACGCTCACACACAACGTATTTAATAAGCAAAAAATTGTATGCTACGGCGAACGTACCGATGTTTGGACATCTGTTTTGCATAATGAATATTTAACAGAGTGCACAAATTAAACAGATGATTTATTTGAACTAAAAAACACTTTCTTGATTATATTTATAATTCAAAATAGTTGAATTAATCTTACGAAGATGGATCAAATATAAACGAGCCTTTTGCCAAAAAACCATATATTTTTCAAAATCAATTCTAATTTATATTTTTCTTATTTTTCTACACGGTCCCCCATCTTATCTATACATTTCCTCCAACGGTCTGGTAATTTTTTAATCCCGGTATCATAAAAAGTTCGCGGACGTGTATCAAACGAATTGCACACGAACTAACTGCACTTCCTCGTTCGTTGTGAAGCGCTGTCCGCCAAGTGGAAAGCTTCCTTGAGTGGCCGAAACATATGAAAGTCGCATGGTGACAGGTCTGGGCTGTAGGGTGGATGTTCTAGGACAACCCAGTGCATGTCGGCCAATTTTTGTTGTGTTACTGCTGCGGTGTGGGGTCTGGCGTTGTCATGGAGAAGCAACACACTTCTGATCGGAGTGCCGCGCCTTTTTGACCGATAGGCAGCTCGAACTGACGTTCCTGAGAGATTTCAAGAACAGTTAAGTACCGATCGCTTTCGATGAGTTCTCGAAAAGCCTCGGTGTTCTGCGTTGTGATGCTGGTGCGGGGACGGCAGCCGCGTTTTCAACACGCTCCCGACGTGTCCGCGGAATCGAGGAAGAACGTGTAAGAACCACGACGCTCTGCCACGAAGAATAGCGAGGGATTCGACTCGCCATTTAGAGAAATAAAACTGAGCTAGCTGAAGTGGGTCCGCTGCCGCGCGAATGCGGGAGCGAAGGAGTCCCGCAATCGACGCGGACGCGAATTACGGTGACAGTTTATAAGTTAAGGACTACCAAATTATAATACCTAGAATCTATGTTAAGAAACTGAGGAATTGTCCCTATCGAATGACAACTATCAGATATTGGTTCAACAAATTCAAACGTGGTCGTTCATCTGTTTTTGATGGGGATGATGAGGAGCGCCCAGGCCGCCCTGCAGACCTGGTTACTGAGGAAATCGTTGAAAAGGTCCACGACATGATTCTCGCTGATCGCCGAAGAAAAGTGCCTGAAGTAGCAGAGGCCGTAGGCGTGTCGTACGAAACGGCATTCAATATTTTGCATGATAACTTGGGAATGAAAAAACCGTCGGCTCAATGGGTGCGCGATTGCTCACGGTGGACAACAAGCGGATGCGGCTATCAATTTTGAAGCAGTGTTTGGAGCTGTTTAAGCGCAATCCACAGGAATTTTTGCGTCAGGTCATAACCGTTGATAAAACATGGATCCATCACTATACACCGGAGACCAAGGAATAGTCAAAACAATGGATTTCACCCGGCGAACGTGCTCCGAAGAAGGCGAAGACAGTCCCAGCCGGAAAGGTGATGGCCACTGTTTTCTAAGATGCGCAAGGCGTCAATCTTCATCGACTATTTGGAGAAGGGAAAAATTATCATGAGGCAGTACTATGCTGATTTATTGGGTCGATTCGATATTGAATTGAAGAAAAAACGGCCTCATTTGGCGAAAAGAAAGTGATCCACCACGACAATGCACCGGCTCACTCCGCCACAGCCAAATTGATCGAATTGCGCTACGAATTGCTGCCGCATCCGTCGTACTCTGCGGATTTGGCCTTCTGCGACTTCTTCCTGTTTTCAAACTTGAAAAAATGGCTCGATGGAAAGAGATCGAATGAGGAGGTCATCGCCGAAACAGAGGCCTATTTCGCAGAGTTCAACAAATCGTATTTTTCAAAGGGGTCAAAAAATGGCAGAATCGTTGGGAAAAGCG